TTTTTTTTTTTTGGGGGGGGGGGGGGGGGGGTGGTTAGAATTACTTGATTCATGTGAATATTATTTGGCCACTCAAGACTCATGAAATAAAGCAATCAAATAACGAATTCTAGTTGCTCACAACCTAAGCTTGATGTGACAAAAGGAAAATGATAAAAGGGTTGTATTGATGTGATTCACTTGTCATTACGTGAGTACATACAAGAAAAAAAAAAGAAAAGGACACAAAATCCACATATTTTGATATTAAATTTCATAACTAATAAAATGAGAAAAGAATTATTTTATTCACATACATAATATACAATAAGTTGAATATCAATCGGCCATTATTGACCTCATCATTTTTAATATAACCAACTGAGATTGATAGTTAATATGATCTTTTTTGCAACTAATTTGTAATATTGTAATTTGTATCTACCTTATCATGAATTTTTGTGGGATTAGTTAAAATTTTCTTTAGGAAGTTTTAGAGTTATCATTGTTAATTTGAGATGCATATGTGTCATGTTATACTTGCCCATATACGTGAGATAAAAATGTTTTATTTGTCTCTTGCTTTTGGCTTTTCTTGGCTTTTCATCCCAATACCTTCTCTATTACTTTCTTGATAGCCATCACGTAGTTTCCTATCAAAACTTTTGCTTTTGCTTTTGGTATATCCTCCTTATTTTTTTGTGTTTTATTTATTGAATTATTGTAAGTGTATTTAAAATTTTTTTCTAAAACTAATTAATATGAGAATAATGACAACGCTGATATCTTAACATCATGTGACTGATAACTCAACATCATGTGACTGATATTCGACATCACGTGATTAGCACATAAGCACGTGTTGTTTACGATGGACGTTAGCACATTTGGGATTCGATATACTACGACAATAGTTAAGCTCGGGAGAAGTGCATCATCAAAAAAACTCTTCAATTGCATTTCAAATACACAATATTTTCTACTAAAAGTCTAGTTGAATCTTTTGAATTTATTACTAACTTAAATTTCAAATAGACTTTGTCGAAAATACTTTCGACATAATTTTACATGTTTCAAGTGCATAAGGACAAATTGATCATTGATCTTTCGCGACAAAAGTGAAAAAAAACATCCATTGACTCTGAATCAATATCTAAATCAAACAATCAAAATCTAACTTAACACTAATTAGATAAAGAAACATAAATAATTATCTAAATGAACAATAAAACAAGTGAAGAGATACTGGTTCGAAATTCTTAATTTATATTCACTCTCCATCTTTTTTGAGATCATAGACTTTCGTTATATCGATTTTGTTTTCATGTCATGGCATGAAGATCAACATCTTTTCAATCTTATTTTTGTTGATCAAATTAATATAAAAGGTTTTATATAACCTCTTTACTGTTGAATCAACCGGTCCAAATTCTCCAAGACACACTTGCCATGACTTTCCTTCCCCCGCTCTTACTGTAATTATCGATTCCATCAATTAACATCAAGGTTCGATTCTCTTAAAATTAGGAGTAATACCTTATAGAGAATGATATCTTATATAGTAAATTTAGAAGGCATTCCAGCATTCGTCCACCTATGCTTCACGAGAAAAATTATATTTATCGAAAAATCAGAGTTATTATTTTTTGTCTTCACTTATCATGTTGTATCATTTATTTATTATTGAATATAATTTTCACAATTCTTCTAAAACGTAAATTTAAGAGAAAACCAAAATAAAATAAGTGAATAGACATAGACTGAGAAATTGGAGTTATGTCATACAAGTGCCTTTGAAATGATCTCGAAGAAAATTCTCAACCACCGGATCATCCTAGGGAAAAGATCATCGCCTGGTCGGGTTGATCTTAGGGTTGGTTGGGATGTGCCTCTTCAGTGAGCTCGTCCGCCTTTGTCATCGTTAGATTCCTGCACATTGGCCTAGGTCAGGATGGGGAGGGGAATCCCGACTTAGGCTTCTTCAAAGATTAAGTTAATGGAATTCTTTATCAAAGATCCTTTGCCCCTTGCTAGATGTTGACAGGGGGCTTTTATTTTAGTGCTTGAGGGGCGGTCTATGCAATCTTCGCATGGCGGCCAACTTCTTGGGCGACGAGTTTGTACCTTTGGACAATCGTCGCCCGGTATGTGTGGAACGATGCCATGCGGTACCGTCCCGAGCTTCTCGATACGATCCTTGTCAGGATGATGCCAATTCGTGTGGCCTAAGATAACACGGGATGATGCCAATCCGATAAGATGTGCCGTGGAGATCATTGTCTCTTACTTGCAACAGAGCTGGTCCATGATGACTCTTTTTTTGCCACGAGAATCATGAACGTTGATCTGCGCAAGTAAAAGCTACACTTATATGCAATCAGCTAAAAGCTTAAGTACCAAAAGTTCAAGAACAAGATCCTCATTTCACTCTAAAATCTAAATCACTAATAACATCAACCGATTACAATATCACTAATACGTAGTTAGCTACCTTTAGTATCTATTATTATATTTTAAAAATTATATTAGTATCACTATAATTATTATAATATCACTAATCTTATTTCTCCTCACGCAATCGATTCTACTGACGATAAATACTATACGTTCTGTCACGTGCAAAAATAACACTAAAAATATGGATAAAAAGATAATTTAATTATTTTTATCGTTCAAAAATATTAATTTCAGATAACAATAATTTATATGAAAGCTTTGATATCCTTCCTTCGACTGATTCTCCCCTCCGACTTTATTATCTTTTTGGATAGCCTACCGAACGATGGTGCCGGTGGCGATCCCCATCTCTTACACCGTTCCATTTCTCCTACTTTATTATTCTCCCATTCAACTTTGCTATCCTTCCGGATGGCCTACCTAATGGTAACGATGGTGTCTTATTTCTCCTACTTTGCTATTCTATCTAATGCCTTCGGCTTCATATAAGATCGATAACTCTCTACCACCTAGACGGAGGATAGTAAAGTTTTTACATAAGTAATTCTCATGTAAAATTATTATTTTTTTAAAAAATAAAATATAAATATATTTTTTTATTTTTATTTTTAACATCAAGTGACAGTACGATATCTTACCTCAATAGAATCACCGAAAAATAAAATATATATTTTTTTACTTTCATAATTATATAGAGATATCATAATTTATAATCACAATTTATAATCACCACCCTACAAGACGTCGCATCACCGTCCGATGGTCGTAGGGAGGACGACAACTCGTGCACGTCACCGTCCTGCGAGTCCACTCAGCCTGTGGGTCATCCTCCCAGTTACGAACTCGGAGTACAAATCAGACCGTCCAAAGCGCCCTTGTCGTGTCGCAAAACCGACGGTGTAGATCGCACCATGATGCGGCTTCCAATTGGGTGGGAGCGTCATCAAGCTTCGCTCCCGGCTCCGCATCACGCCACGTCGCGCGAGTCCATCACTGTTTTAATGCGATTCCCCCTCGGCCTTCAACATCTCCGCGCAACGCTGCGTCCTGACACCTGGCCGGCCTCCATCGCGAGATCGCCTGCGGAGTTTCCTTGCCTTCAAGTATCAAGACATAACAGGTCCGTCGTCCTCTCTCTCTCTCTCTCTCTCTTTCACTCTGTTTCTTGCGCATCTGCACAAATATGTTGCGCGCACTCCCTAGGAAAATTATAAGAATCTTGTGTGTATTGTCAATTTCGGCAAGGACGATATTTGAAGATGCCAATTTGTGTAAAATATTGTGGCAGGAAGTGTTAGTACTGTTGGTTTGTCTGTGTTTTGTGGGAATTTTTGGGTTTTGGTTGTGATTGTTGGAGACTTGTATGGAGTCTGATCTTGATTATTTTGTTGTTGGTGTGATTGGTTTTTGAGGAAAGATTGAAGTTGGTGAGGAGGGATGAATTCCAAGAGTTTGGGAGTAGGAAGAGAGGATGGACAGGCGCAGCCACCACCGCCGCCGACGCTGCTGTCGCGGCAGGGTTCGATTTACTCGCTGACGTTCGACGAGTTCCAGAGCACGCGCGGGGGGCTTGGCAAGGACTTCGGGTCGATGAACATGGACGAGTTCCTTAAGAACATATGGACCGCGGAGGAGAGCTACGCCATGGTCGCCGCCCTCGGCGACGGCAGCGGTGGCTTTGGTGCCGGGGCCGGCCTCCAGCGGCAGGCCTCGCTCACCTTGCCCAGAACCCTTAGCCAGAAGACTGTCGACCAGGTCTGGCGGGGCCTCGTCGAACCCTCCTCCTCCGGCCAAGGGGTGGCCGCCAGCTGCGGCGGCACGGACTTCCCGCGGCAACCCACCCTCGGGGAGATTACCCTTGAGGAGTTCTTGGTGCGGGCCGGAGTGGTGCGGGAGGATATGGCTCCGTCGCCGAGACCACCGACGCCGATTGGCAATAAAAGCAACAACACCAATATCTACTATGGAGATTTGCCGGTCGTGAACACTTCGGCTGGGCTGGAACTCAAGTTCAATCAGGCACCGGGTCGAAGCAATGGAAATATGGCAAACGTTCCAATTGCTCACGGTTCAGCTGCTAATTTGGGGGTGACATCCACTGTTGCGAGACCTTTTGCGCCTCCAGTTCCCCTGGGAGATAGCATGGGCTTGGTGAGCCCGCAGGGCATGAGAGGCGGAGAACTTGGCGGCTTTGGCCACGTCGGGATGAACAACAGATTGATGACGGGGATGGTTGGTCTGAGCACAGCTGGAGTCATGGGAGCGTCAGGGTCGCCAAAAAACCATCTGTCTTCAGATGAAATTGTTAAAGGCAACGGGGATCTATCTTCTTTATCACCTGTTCCATATGTGTTTAATGGTGGGCCGAGGGAAAGGAAGCGTAATAGGAGTCTGGATAAAGTTGTGGAAAGGAGGCAGAGGAGGATGATCAAGAACAGGGAGTCAGCTGCTAGATCACGTGCCCGGAAGCAGGTGATCTGTTTTACTGTGCTCTCTAGAAATTGTTTAAATTCATAGCCTATGCTATTTAGCATAGTTGCATATAGTTTTCCTTGTTTTTCTGTGTTTCTCATATCGTAGAATAGTATCATTTACATAGAATTATTTTGTTTAGTTAGATGACTTCTTCTCTGTGTGAATTTCATGAGACTCTGTTGTTTGGCAATTCATTGATCTCAGTTTTCGTAACTTGATCCATCTTTTGCTGCTCTTCGTTTATCTTTCTACCTAGGTTTTTTTGTCAATTTCAAAGAATTGAGGATTCCGAACCAACCATGAAATGCTAGTGAAAGTGAGGTTTTATCTTAGCACACTTCATATTATTAGTTTCTGTTCTTTGTCAATATTGACAACATTCTTCTAAAAGATGGATGACTTGCATGATCCTAGTGCAGTGACAAACTATGATGAGTTATTATTTGTTGGAAGGCATTTCATCTAAATTTATCTTAATGCATCAAATTCCTTGGAGAGGTATGTTTTGATCAACATGCTTACAAAACAGCTTTTATAGAAAAATAAGCAAAACTTCTCTTTTCCTTTCGTTGTAACACATTCACTTCTCCACAATGCTGTGCTTGATAGTCATGCACGATGGTTATGTCAAATACTTCAATTAAATTTGCCAACTTGAGAGTCACATTTTTCCCTTATTTTTTCAAATAATACTACCGGAAGAGATCAGTAGGTTAACTAGATTTAATTTTTCAATAGTTCTAAGATGTTGAGACTTAAGAATATGTTGTTCAAAATATGGATTTTGGAAATAACATGACAAAAGAAGTAAAAGATTGACCCACAATTGTGAATATGTTGTTGTTATTGTAAACATAACTGAGGCTATAGAACAATAAAGCTGTTAGAACCTCTGGCACACAGGACAGTAGAACTTTCAGGATCATACATTTGCCATGCTTCTTATCTATCATTATTTTTTCATTTAAATAGAGAAAAGGGAGTTCTGGTGGTTGTTGCCCTTAAATAGATATTATGTAGATAATAATTAGCTTTATTCATGACTTTTCCTGTGTCCATTCTACTTATGTACATTTTATTTGAGTTAGGCTTATACTGTGGAGTTGGAAGCTGAAGTGGCAAAACTCAAAGAGCTAAACCAAGAATTGCAGAAAAAACAGGTAGTTCTTCTTAATGGTACTTCGACATGTCTGATTCATGATAACCAAAATTCATTGTTCATTTTTTCATCAAAATATTTTTATAAAAATAGGGGTCCCAGCATTTTCTTCTTGCCTATCATCACAATTTTCATGTAGGTTTTGTAAAATTTCCAATAATAGCATTGCCCTTGTCTTTGCACTTGAATGTTTATAAGACCAAATTTACAGATTCTATGCAACCATTTGTGGTAGGGATATTAAAAGGTAGAGATCAAATTAAGACTGATAGTTTCAAGGTTTTCTTTGGTATCCTGATTTGATATTTGTGGCTTAGAAACACCAAATTCCAAATGTTACTGGATGTTGTCATGAATTCTATGGTAATTGTGTTCCATAATAAGATAAATGATGAATAAATGTCACGATTAAAACCTTCACCTTGACGCTTTCGTCATAACCATTGATTTTTGTGAACGTTACTTCTGTGTTGGCTTTGCTGCCCCATATCAATGTATGTTCTGTTTCAGCATCACATGTATTTTCTTAAAAGATCAATATGAAGACTATGTTTACAATTTTGAGAGCAAAATGAAAGATTGAACTTCTGATGACACTCTTTGATGCTTGCAGGTGGAAATGATGGAGATGAAGAAGAATCAGGTAATTCGTTCTCTTTATAATGATTATTTATGTAGGTTTCTTTCCAACATTTAGCCATTTCTGTTCACTGTTTACAATTTTTCTGATATATTTTTTGTTTTGAATGTATAGTTGATTAACTTGATAACTTTGGCAGTTTCTAGTTGCATTGCATTCTTTTCTTGACAACTAGTTGTGCAGTTTTTATGTTATATTATTGATGGAACATTTTCTTCTCTATAAATTGGATAAGCTTTCCATACAAGTTACTAGACTGAAGGTAATATCTTTCAGATATGCTTCTCTTCACTGTATTAACTTATTTTATTCTCTGATTTTATATGCCGTTGAATAGCAATTTGGGGAAAACATAAATAAGATGACTAGTGTTTTCAAACAACAAAGAAAATTTTATGAGGAGGAATAGTCCACACATGAGTTGATGGAACATCAAACACCCATATGTCCTTGATCCTTCTCTACTGCATATCTATTTGGAAATATCCGAAGTATTGACAGATAAATAATTTATTTTGTTGTCCTTACTGTCTCTAAAATGTTTAAGTTCTTATAACTTGAAACCCAAAACAGAGAATGAACAGAGTGTATGAGGTCGAGGAATCAATTTTTTTATACTAGTTGATTCTGTATGAGTCAAGCAAGGATCTGCACACCCTTTCATGGATTGACTTGATACCTGCGATATTGTTGAACTAGTAAATGCTGCTTGCTGTTTTTAATTAGAAAAGGGCTTCTCTCTCTCTCTCTCTCTCTCTCAGTGAATCTATTTTATTGTTATCTCCTATTCTAACCTCCCTCTCTCTCCTGTTCACATTTATTATTCAATATCACTTATAACCACTAGATTTCTAGATATTGTCATTGTTTATCATGTCTTAGTGTACGTGATGCTTGCATTGTTGAGATTATGTTTGACGGTATGGGTAGTTTCACGAAACATTCTTCTCCAATGTTTGTTTGACAGGTAAACAGGAAAGGCGGAGATAGTTTTCTGGATCTCTAGGACAATTTATTTTTTTTTCAGATTTTTTCTCTGAAAAATGAAAATAAAGCTCTCCTAAATCTTCTTATGACTTTCCAACAACACTGAGAAAAGAGGTTAACTTCAGTTTTTTCTGCATTCCAAATTTAAGAAAAGAAAAATCAAAAGATTTCATTTCCCTTTCCGACAAACCAGAGAAGTTTAATTAATTTTTTAATGAGAAGATTTATCATTGAAAAATTCTTCTCCACAATTTCCCTTGCAACCATTTAGCCCTTATCTCAAAGTTATAGTTTTGATCTTAGTTTTGTTTGAAATAGTTGGCAAAAGCTAGATTTTTGTTCGAAAACGTCATTTATGGCTATGATTTAAGCCAGAATCTAAGTTTCTCTGCTCTATATGACTATGAAGTATTTCATGGGTGACAAAATTCATCAAGAAGAGGAATGCCAATCTGTAATGTAAAAGAGTTAAATCTGACATAATCAACATGTTTACCAGAAATAGATTTTTGAATGAAGTAAACTATTTTGGGAGCTCTTCGAGAATATTTTGAGAGTTCTGTACTGGCATTAGTTGGCAGCATAAATCTTCAGTGGCCTGGCACCCTGCATAAACCTTATCACCAGTGATTCGTCTTAACCATATTTTAAATTTGTGGAAATGGTATCTGACCATTTTCTACTACTAAAAGGAAAATTGATTGGTTTGACATTTTTCACCCTACTTTTGCTTAATGTGATTGACGATTTTCATGCAACTGTAAGGCACTGACTGTAACTTATTTTGCGGCAAGAATTACAAAGATGATTTGGTGACTTCATATTAGAACTTTTGTTCTCAACTCTGTTCCTGTATTGATGTGTGGAATCATCATTAAAGAAACATGTATCTTTTTGTTGCTGGATCCAAAATTGCAAAATTCATTGTGTTATATGAATCTTGATAGATGTTACCCTCCCTTCATTTTTGTGGTAGAGGTTAACAATTTAGCCTTGATATGTTTTTCTTGTTTTATTGGTAGTGTACAATTTTACAACAACGGTGATAATTAACAAATATGATAATTGCAGCAAATTGGGAACATAATAGCTATGGCATCTTGTTTCATGGTGATGGTTGAAGTTTTGCCTTCCTTCCACATGACTTGCCTCTTCTCCTTTATTTCCGTTTACTTCTTCTTTCCTTTTTGTCTTTGTAAGCTTGAAATCACATAGAGTTGAGTTAAATCGACCAACTCTAGTTAAGTTGGATTGACCTATTTAATTTTGCCGAATTTCTGATTATAAGGTGAGAAATTAGCCAAAAACATGCTAGACAAGGTCAGCACCATAAAGAGATCCTTTTTTGCTGCTTGCAGGATTTATAGGCGAGCTATTTTAAAGGTTAATTTTTTATATTTTTTCATAATATCTATATTCTTATTGTTTTTTTATTTTTAATGAACATAGAAATTTCATGCTCTAATCTTGGCTTTGTGGCAATTTAGTGCTTTCTGTTTTTATAGAAGTTATTGTTATGAAAGTCATAAGGTTCTTCACATCATTAAGTTGACACACAGAATTATAGGTTACTTTTTCTATTACGTTTAAGCTTTCTGATCTATCGAACAGAATTTTCATAGGTTGATGCTTTTTTTATTCTAAGTTAAATTTAAGTTTATGATAGTACTTCAAAATTTGCTCAGTAGTGCGACTTAAAGCCTATACTTGAATGACTATGGCACAGAGTAGTACATTTTATTTTGTTGCTTATCCGATTCAATAATACTTCTTTGCATTCATGACAAGAAAATGTTATACTGTAAACGCGTGATTTTTTTATGTTGCTTCTCAAAGTAGTTGTTCCAATGTCTGCCACCACATAGTTTTCTTCTATTTCACCTGGAGTAATAAGGTGACACACTAAATAATAGTCTCATAAGAAGCAACATTTAATATCCTCCGTAGTTTGACAGACAGTGATAATGGATACCTTCTAAGATACAATGATAACTCAGTAATCCACATGTATCTGTAACTTGGAAAGAGCATCTCGGAAAAAGCTATTTGTTGTGTTTTTTTTTAAAGTCCTTTATATATATTTATATTCTGAATTCTTCTCAAATATATATTTTCACATTCGATAGCTATGGAAAATGAATGTACTTACGAAGGTTAAAGTCGGAACTATCAGGTCCTCCAGGTGATCAAGCGGCAGCATGGACAAAAGAAACAACGGTTGAGGAGGACACGAACGGGTCCATGGTAAAGCGGGACTTGATGACAATAGCTGAATCAAACAATAAAAATCCATGGTGTGAAACTATTTGAGATCGACTAAATGAATCATTTTTTTTCATCATTGAACTATGTGTATGTGTAAAATGATAGTTGTTGAACCAGAATATCTTGTATTTTAGCTCATAGAGCAGTTGTGTATATGAATTGCACCTCTTGCTGTAGAATCCAGATCTTGTATAATTAATTTCTCATCCATCTTATTTTGCTTGTTTGCCATTTCCCCCCCCCCCTCATGCTATGAGCATTCCCCCCCAGTGTGATATGCATTGTAAAGAGCCATCTCTTGAATTCACATATTGCCTTTAGATTTTGGTGGTGAGTCATTATACTTGTTTGTGCCTGGAATTCAAAATTTATTCAACATGTCCTAACTAAAACACAAAAAAATCATTAATTTCAAAGGGATATATAGCACTTTCGCTATAGTTGAATATAATGTTAGAGATTCCTTAAACCGCATACTCTCTTCAAATTGATCGTATCAGCCCATAAATCTTTTCTAATAATCACTAGGGATAAAAAGATGGATTAGATTGTGCAAAATCAACTTAGCCTTCCAATCAGACTCCAATATCAAATGGATACTAGATTCGATAACCATACATGTCCGGAAAGAATAAGCTTAGGAACAGTGGATACGAAGTAATCAAGAATACATAATGAGGAAGCTAATTCAAATTTATCAATCACATTTCTCAGAAACATCTTGAAACAAACGGTACACACCATATCTAAAGGATCAAATAGATCACAGCTTTTCCTAAACGAGTGCGGACACTATTTAAGTATATTCAAATATTTATTTATTTATTATAGTATGTGATAAAAATAAGATTTGAATTTACCAATAAAAAACTCTATATTAAAATAATAATAAAAATATTAAACAATAAATATGTTAATATTCGATCGTGTCCGGATTCGGGTAGGACAACTGTTACTTACTTGCTTTAAGACGATCTTATCTAACCTTCGTTCGCCCAGCCCGGTAGAGGTGAGTGCCTTTTCCCTAGCTAAGTGGGTACCAATCTCTACCCGTCAGTCCGTCGCCCCCTACAGCGCCGGTTGGCAATTCATCGCCATCGCATTTAATTCCACCCCCTTCCCCTCCGCCTCTCCCTCCCAATAACAATTCTACACGCAAACGCAAGCAAAGCATCCCATCCCTCTGCCAGCTGCCCACGTCTTCCCTGCGTCTCTGGATCGGTCGGTCCTTCGATCGGGGAGGAATTCGGTAAGTGCGGAAGGAAGAAGAGATGGAGAGCTCGTTGCAATCGGCAGGCCTTTTGGAGCAGATGAAGATCCATCTCTCCACCGATGCCGGCAAGGAGGTCACCAAGAAGATCGGCCTCGTCTACCAGCTCAACATCGCTCCAAAGGTCCCTATGTTTCTTTTTTTTCTGACGTCGATGCTCCCTTTTGCTGGAAACCGTAACGCTAACCCTAAATTTTGTTTCCTGCTCTTTGGGGCCTGCAGAAGATTGGGGTGGATGAGGAGATCTTTGTCGTCGACCTCAAGCAAGGAAAGGTCACCAAAGGTCTCGCCTTTTGCCACTTCCCCTTCAATTTCCTTGCGTCCTTGTTTTGTTAATAGAGATCGTAGAATTGATGTATTTGTTTTTGTGATTTGTCTATGTTAGGCCCGTATGATGGAAAACCAGATGCGACCTTCTCGTTCACCGATAAGGATTTCCTCTCTATCGCTACAGGAAAGATGAATCCGCAGATTGCATTCATTAGGTGATTACAATTAGTTGTTCCTTTATAATTTCTTTCCTTTCTCATCTGGAAAAAAGAAAGGCATTTGCTTGATTATTGATATTTCTTTGTGTTTTTCTTTTGTTGGTTGCAGGGGAGCTATGAAGATCAAGGGTAGTCTAAGTGCAGCGCAGAAGTTCACTCCAGATATCTTCCCGAAACCTTCGAAGCTTTAATTTGGAAGCTCATTCGTCCTTTTCTCTTTATGGACAATAAAATAACGTCGCCTTTTGATTTATGGCCCTGTTATGGAAGGATCAGACATGGAACCAAGTAATGTTATATCAGTAGGTTGAACATGGATAGGTTTTGCATATTCTTATGATCCATTAAAAGTTTATTATTTCCATTGATTATTTCTTCATAAAGTCCTCTAGTAACTTATTTTGCAGCTCAAATTGAATCTTTAGGTTTCTTGTTTTATTTAATTAGTTACGTGATTGTGTTGGAGTGTTAAGATTTACAATAAATTCTATTCCTGTTTGGTCATAAGATCTTCCTTACTTTATATTGTGAGTTTTATTACTTTTCACAACTACAAGTTCTTGCCATGTAGAGGAAACTAAAAAAAGATGAACAAAGGCAACAACATCACAACTATTGCAATCAAACAATGTAAAGATTATATTAAAATTATTAGCCTTGTTGCAATGGGAACTAGGTTGTAATAAAAAAAATATGGAAAGTAAATAGCACTTCTAAGGTTTCTTTCACTAAAATAATTCATAATAAAGCTTAATGATTTTGCTGCTAAATCTGATACTAATTAATGCTTATCCTACCTAGACTCTTAACATTGTTATTATTCTAAGTGTGAAAGATTCAGTAATTGGACTATCTATGGAGAAAATATGAATTTAATTAAGATATCCATTAGATTAGAAAAACACATTGTTGAAAGAATATTCCCATAAAATATCTAACAGTCCAGATCTTTTTTTTAATGATATATGGGAAATCTAACGAATTTGCAGCCATGATGGAGTGGATTAGTAATGTTATGGATATCTATATATCACATTCTGGTAATATATTATGTTTAAGTTGTATGATCTTTTCATTTATATCTTTCAAAGTTGTCCCACTACATTGAAGAAAGCTTTTATCCTTCCAGTATCAGTCAAGCAAATTAAATATGATAATTTTAGTGTTGTCAGTAAGTTATCCATTTTTTCCTCACTTGAGATCTTGTATAAACATGCCAGTTGTCAATCATTACTTTATGATGACTGAAATTCAGAACTTGGCCATGAAATATGCACTGCACTCATCTGAAGTGAAAAAACTATCCAACTCAGAAGCATCTAGGTTCACTGTCTTGTAGCTTCATTGCTACATCTTTGTTGAAAGTTATATACAAAAAGTTGCCAACTAATAGCTTCTAGAATGGAGTATATGTTTTATGGGTTTTATGGATTTGAAAGTTATATGCAAAAAGTTGCCTAGTAATAGCTTTGTAGAATGGATTATACATTTTATGGATTTTAAAGAAAATAATGCTTATACATTTCATCCTTTCTTCAATGATTAACTTTGGGGGATCTTTATGGAGGTCATTTTGAGGTAGTTCTGCATCGATTGTATGTGTTTTCTGAAGATCAGTACTTACAATAGCAGTTACACATTAGCGCCAATCACCTGCATGAGGCCTGTCTTGTGCTAGGCTTCATAGCATTCACCTAAAATTTGAGAATTCATTAGTTGATCTCATTGATGTATGCATCATGCCCGTTGCCATGATGAGATGGACATCTATGTTCAACTATCAATTTGCAATAGTTAATACAAGATCTATTTGGATAACATCAATAAGTTTCAGAAATTTATTTAGATTTTTCTTGGCTGGCATCGAAATCAAATGTCAGGTTATTGTTCATTTTTCTTAGTTGTTTGTTCATCTTGTTCTTATTGTCTCACATGTAACCAGTGATTGCAAAAGGCGCTCGGGCGCTCGCCTAGGCGCTCGGGCGAGGCGAGGCGAGGCCCGAGCGCCTCGCTAATGTCCCAGGCGGCGCGCTTCAAACAGGCGCCGCCTAAGCGCTCGCCCGAGCCCAGGCGCTGGGCGCTTCGGGCGAGCGCCTGGGTAAACCAAGGCGACCGAACCAGAATTTTAGGTCTGGTTCGGCCCTGGTTCGGTTGTTAGTTGGTTCAATCGAACCAACTAAACCGATATAACCCCAACCCTAACCCTAACCCTAACCCAACACTAACCTGCTGCCGCTGCCGCTCTCGATCCCGATCCCGATCGCGATCTCGTCGCTTGCTGCCGCTGCTCCCGCTGCCGCTGCTCGCCGCTGTCGCTGCTCGCGCCTCCCGCGAGCCCTCCCGCTACTCGCGTCTCCTGCGAGCCTTCC